GAGGTGAATTGATCATTCTCTTTTTTGATACCTCAAAGTCTCAGTCAAAATAACTCCTATTTTTTTTTTACATTTTAAGATCCTAGCCTTTGCAATAAAAAGAAAGAGAGATAGAAAGAGAGAGAGAGACTTGTTTGAAAAACAAGTTCATGGGCAGAGGGAGAGATCTTCTACATGATATTTCATGCCATAAATGCCTGTAGCAACCAGAATTAAAGCAGGAACTCCATCCAGGTATTGCAAGTGGGTGGCAGGGACCCGTATATTGGAGTCATCATCCACTACCTCCCAGGAACGTTAGCAAGCAGCTGGGCTTAAGAGGCATGGGCTAGCTTGGACTCAAACAGAGCATTCTCCCACATGGGATGCAGTCATCCCAAGTGCCTTTCCAATTTTTACCTGAGAAAAACTAATTTTAGAGTATTAAATGTTTGCAATTTTGGAAATGTAAGACTTCAATCCTTAACAAGATTTCTTATTTGCACAAATACCTACAAGTATACCAGAAATAAACTGATTGCCTCTTAGATGCATGACTTAAAGTACTAAAAAATAGTTTCTAAAAATTTCTGAGCAAGAAAAAAAGAAAGAAAAAAAAGGTATAAACCTGGAGTATCATTTCCCAGAAGGGATGTGTCTGGAGGTCTGAGAGTGGTTGGCATTTCACCTGGGGAGAGGGAGGAATTTAAGATCAGAGGAGCGCAAGGCTCCCGTGCTAGTACCAAGTGCCAGTCTGGATCGCCATGGATCCTGAGTCTTCTCTGGGTCATGCATTGGGCACCAAAATATCATTATGAGCATAAACAGGGTCTGTAAAAGGATGAATTCAAGGCAGATTCAGGACAAAACGCAGCGCCTTTCAATGTGTTTTGGGAAATGTTGAAGTGGTCTGCTCCATTCAGAATGCGTGCATTACGCCATAAACATGCTCTGGCTTGGCCTGAAGAAGCGGGATTTAGGTAAAGTGGAGGAGCACACTGGCTAGGGATTACTGCAGGGATGGGTAGAGTGCTGTGTCATAGAAAGAGGCTGTTGGAAAGGTTAATGATGAATAGTGTTAGGGGGGAGAGTTCTGAGACTAGATAAGGATTGTATTGAAAAAGATCAAAGGATTGCTCAGGGTTGCTGTGGATACACACATCAAGTTGACCTAACAAATAAGGTGAAGAGCTCTGGGCCACTGCTCCTCAGCTAAGTTTAATAGGTGTTTCTCATAAATGCATTTCGAGCCTCTTAGTGAGCACTTTGTTCTCATAGTTAAAACATGCAAAATCACCTCTTCTCTTTGAAACAGTCACCTAACACCATGCTATCAGTTTCCAAATATTTGTTTATGCCTGAAGTAACTGTCCAGATGTTTGAAAAGATAACCTAATACCATCAGTGCCTGAAACCGACATAAGTGATAGCTGAATGTTTTTTTCCATTGAGCTTTGAAGAATTTAAAAGGTACTAGAGATGAATTCTATTGGTTGTTTTTTTGTTCTGTTTTGTTTTGTCTTTTTGGATCCTGAAAAAAAAAAAAACTACTTTGCTGTTTATCAAAGAATCAAATTTACGCCTAGCCTAATAGATGGAGTTAACTTGATTTTTGGACAAGGTCTGCATTCCAAGCCAATACTGATTCTTTTTAAAGGCCAAAGAGAAAGAGACTGCCATCGATGAAAAAGAAGGATAGCTACAAAGTCGGGATACTTTTCTGTGGCTCAGAATCTCTCTTCAAAGACAGGTCTGGAAACAAGTCCTTGTGCTTCTTGAATTCTGATAAGGTTGTTTTTAGAAATTTGCAGAAGGAGAACCATTTGCTGGATGTGCAGAAGGCGAGGGTCAGGGCTGGTGTTGGGGTTGGGGTCAGAGGAGCCAGGAAACCTTGTCCTGTTGGAACGGACTGATGTGCAGGTGTAGGGACTGAGGGAGCACCAGGTTCTCAGGCAACAATTTGTGACAAGTCCTTCAAGCAGTCATCTCTTTCTGTTTAGTGTGTATCATCGCATTTGTTCTGGAACTTGACCAGGATTTCAGTCAGCTCATCATAAAATTGGATGCTGTCACTCATACTAACTACAACTTTGGTTCCTGTGGGAATTGGGACCCTGAACCAGCTCCACCACAAACGCCTGAGTCAGCACCTCCTCCACACATGCAGTGTCTGTCATACATAGCGCACGCATCAAGGGTATCCTGCTTATTGCCAAATGCCCACACCCAGGAGCTGGAATCCTTACACTGATGGCTGATGTGATGTGCCGTGGTCACCAGTGTTATCAGCCGAGCCCTAGAGAGACTGTGTATCCAGGACCTGGCAACCTTAGCCCCCCGTAGCAGCCTGACTGTCCATGGCAGTAATCTATTCACTCAGAAGCTCAGCAGGTGCAGGTCAGAGGGAAAGAAATAGCAACCCTGCTTTGATTAATATAATGCGCTTTACTGACTGGAATCTCTGCGGCTGAAAGCTAAAACCCATGTCCCAGTTTCACATTTGGCTGCACATGAGAGATTTGCTGCAGTAGAGGCGTTAAGTATAATAGACTTTGAAATAAATCACGTTGCACTTCCCCAATCTTTCAAATGAGGAATTAAACCTGTAAGTGAAACATCTGAAATAGCTGTTCTTTTTACATGAGACACAACTGGACATCCAGTACCTATAAAGATGGCTCGAGTACTGACATTTAAGAAAACGAAATTTTCTTTCTTTTTGGTTTAATGATATGGCTTAATTTGCAAAATACTGCTTTGAATAAACAAACATTGCAGATCTCATAATTTTTTTTTAGGATTTATTTGTATCTATTGCAAAGTCAAGTATAAAGAGAGGAGGAGAGACAGAGAGGAAGATCTTATCATCTGAAGAGTTACTCCCCAAGTGACTGCAACAGCCAGAGCTGAGCCAAGCCAAAGCCAGGAACCCAGAGTCTCTTTTGGGTCTCCTGCGCAGGTGCAGGGTCTCAAGGCTTTGGGCCGTCCTCTACTGCTTTCCCAGGCCACAAGAAAAGAGTTGGATAGGAAGCAGGGCCATCGGGATTAGAACCGGCGTCCATATGGTATCTCGACATGTTCAAGCTGAGGACTTTAGCTGCAAGCTACCGCACTGGACCCCAGATCTCATATTTTGAAAATAAGTTGCTTGGGTCCAGTGTAATGGCTCAATTAGCTAATCCTCCCTATTCAAGCACTGGTCCCATATAACAGTTCATATCCAGCTAGCTGCTCAGCTTCCCATCCAACTCTTGGCTTCTGGCATGGAAAAGTAGTGGAGGATGGCCCAAAGCCTTGGGACTCTGCATCGATGTGGGAGACTTTGAAGGAGCTCCTGGCTCCTGGCTTCGGGTTGGCTCAGCTCTGGCCATTGCAGCCACTTGGGGAGTGAGTCAGTGGATGAAGGATTTTTCTGTCTCTCTGTGGATCTGCCTTTTCAATAAAAACAAATATATCTTTTAAAAAATTATTTATTGAAAGGCAGATTTCAGACAAAGAGAAGGAAAGGAAGATCTTCCATTCACTGGTTCACTTCTCAAATGGCCGAAATCACCAGAGCTGAGCTGAACTGAAGCCAGGAGCCTCTTCCGTGTCTCCCACATGGACCTAAGGCTTTGGGCCATCCTTGACTGCTTTCCCAGCCAGAAGCAAGGAGCTGGATTAGAAGTGGAACAGTCCATATGGGATGTCAGTGCCACAGGCCAGAAGATTAATGTGCTATGCTACTGCGTTGGTCCCAACTTCTATTCTAACATGGAAAGTGGAGGCCAGGCATTATGGAAAAGGAATTCAGAGAGTTGTAACAGTAAGACATTGATTTATGTTAATAAAAAACATACAATCAATCTAGAGTAGAAAACCAGCTGAATGATGTGATGCTTTCCTGGGAACTGAGCTCACCCAAAAAAAGTGGTTTCAATGCTGAAGCCAGATAACATCAGGCCGTAGTGTCCTAGCCACCTGCCTTGGCTGAGCTGGCACTAAGGGCATGGTACAGCTGTCCCTATAAGATTCTAATGATGAGGCTTGTGATGTCATTAGCTTCTCCAAAAGATAAGACTTGGGTGGCCAGCCTCGTCCCTCTCAGAGGGTTTCGATCTAGGGAAAATCCCAGGTATATGCAGGGGAATTCCAGGTCCAGGCTAGATTAGAACTACACCTGCATGTAGCCCCGGGCTGACTGAAGGCCACTTCACCATCTTGTCAGTAGGGCATGTTGTGGGGGCTTCAGGCCTGCAGACTTCCCACTCAGCCTGTCTTAGCACATGGGTTTCTTTTTTATCTTATTCCAGTTTCTTCCACACACAGTCAGCATATGAAGGAGAAGAGGAGTGTGCAAGCCTCAGTGCCTTGCCAGTGGCTAACATGCAACTTCCCCCTTCGCCTTTCGTCTGTTCTACTTCTTCCTGACTGTCCATGGGGCCTCTTCTAAAGTCCCAGAGCACCCCCTTTTAGCAGAGTGAAGTTCTTGAGGTGTCCATGCTCTCAGCTGTCAACAGATGAAGTGTTCTCTTTCCTTCCTCCCCAAGCCTTGTCTTTCTTTTGTCTGGCCCCAGGAACAGGGATTGAGCTTTGGGCAACTTGCTATGTGCCCATGAAGACAATGTCATGACCATTCTATTGAAAAGTATATACCAAAGAATTCTAAGTGAAGAAGATGAGCACAAAATACTGAGTTTAATTAGATCATTTGATGAAAATGAATGTTGGGCAAAAATCACAGCTTATTTTGAGTCATATAAAATAGTCCTTTGTTGTTGTTTCAGTTGCTTAACCTCATAATAAAATAGAAGACAGCATCTATTTCAAAAACGGCTAATTCCCAATTCTTCCTAAACAAAATCTTTCAGCAATGTCATTTCATCATGTTGATTGATGGTTAAGACATCAGACTATTCAAACAATAAAAAAAAAAACCCCTTCCAAGTCAGTGAATCAAAAGAATTGTTCATGCTCTCCACACAAAGGGTGGAGCCCTCGAACCACTAGGGCAAGAAGGAAGTTGAACGAGCTTAAATACCAGGGCTTCCTCACTCCTGTCAGCCTAGAGTTCTGGCTTCCCAGGCAACATGAAAGTGCTCCTGATTCTGGGGATGCTGCTTCTTTCCAGCACCATCCAGGGCAAGGTCTTTGAGAGGTGTGAGCTGGCCAAAACTCTGAAAAAATTTGGAATGGATGGCTACAAGGGAATCAGCTTGCCGAACTGTAAGTCTGTGTTTCTTCCAACTTCCTGAGGCTGAAGCTCAGCTCATTCCCTAATGCCTGTAATAGAGATTTTCTTAACTCTTAATGTTTCTTCCTCTGCCTACAGCTCCCCTGTAAAAAAGAGACACTGAATTAGGAAGACTCAAATTGCTCCTATTGTTGGCAGAGTTATCAACTTAATGCTAGGCCCAGGACAAAGAAAAAAAATCCAGTCTTTTGCCTACCTGTGCTATTCCAAAGGAAACCTGTTGGCCTTTTTTTTTTTTTTCATTGGCCAAAGGAAGGCCAGTGGTGCTATGGACCCACTAGAGGCCCATCCAGGAGCTGACCGTACACGCTCATCTCCAGCTTTGTGATTCCTTGCCTTTAGTCCCTCAGGGAGTCCAGGAATTGAAACCATCCCCATCCAATCCCCCAATTAACACATCAAATCCCCCTACTCCCTCATAACAAACCCCCCCTCTAACTTAAATTTCCCATACCTCACATCATTACCCCCTACTTTTTAACACACTCCATCACACCCTAAAACTTCCTATAACCCCACCCCTCAAACCCCCCCCATTCCACACCCCTACCTCCTTTTAATCTATCCTCCCAAAATACCACCCCAATACTTACACAACCAACCAATTCCCCCACCCACCCTAATTCCCCCAAACTTCACCTCTCATCCCCCTTTTCCTTCCCCTATCCATTTTTTCCCAACCCTTCCCACCCCCCTACCCCCCCCTCCATCATACCCACAAAACACACAAATCAAACACCCAAATAACATTCCCATCTCTCCCCCATCCCCTTCATCCCCCCACCACCCTAAACCCCTACCCACAACCCTAATTCCCCTTCTACAATCTCTCTTCCCAACCTATCCCCCATTCCCAACTATCATACCCAACCATAAACACCCACTAACCAAAAATCCCTCCATCTATCATTCACTCATCCCACCCCCCTCATCACAAACCCACACAAAAATAAATTTCACCCCCCAATCACAACCCAACCTATCTTTACAATACATCATAAACCAAAAACCTCCCCACACCATCCCCCCAAAACCCCTACCACCACATAAGCCCAATCCAAACCCTCACACAACCCCTCCACAAACCCATAAACACAACATCTTTATCCATAATCCCATTCCCCCTTCCCCATTTCTTTTACCCCCCCCCTCTCCCCTAAAACAAACCCAAAAAAAATCCTATCCAATACAATCACCCCACTCCAACTCCCACCTCAAATCCAACCCCCATTTAAAAACCACTTTCCAAATACCCACCTCCATAACCCACAAAACTAATTTAAGCATATAGAAGTTAGGCAAATAGAATTGATTTTAGCTTACAGTGTAAGTTTGTGTTGCTGTTCATTATTAAAAATAATGTCTTTTCAGGGATGTGTTTGGCCAAATGGGAGAGCAGTTATAACACAAAGGCTACAAACTACAACCCTGGAGACAAAAGCACTGATTACGGGATATTTCAGATCAACAGCCGCTACTGGTGTAATGATGGGAAAACCCCGAAATCAGTTAATGCCTGCCGTATTCCCTGCAGCGGTAAGACAAGCAGCGTTGGGTGATGGCACAGGGGCCCTGGGGATGTCTTATAAAGAAGCAAGGCAAGGGGAAAAGCCTTGAGGTGTTCAGAGGGACCTGGGAGAAGTCCATCTCAAGTTCCAATAAGTTTTTGTTATCCTCACTTGTAATTCCCCAAGTGGGAAAGTAAAGAGCTGGTATCAGAATAGGTTGGTGCTCTTTTGTAAACACTAATTTCCAGAATGGTCTGTGGATCGATTGTTAATGCCTTACTGATGCTCTCTGCAGAACAATACTATTCCTCCTGCTAACTCAGGAGAGGAACAGGGTCATTTGGTGTGGGGCCTTTTTCTGATCGTTTTGTATTACTTGAAATGTTCTGAATACAAGGAAGAATTGAAATATTAGTATAACAAAGAACCATAAGCCTAACTTTTTAATAAGATTTATTTTATTTATTAGGCAGAGTTTTATATACAGAGAAAAATCTTCCATCTGCTGGTTCTTCTAATTGACTGCCATAGCTGGAGTTGGGCAGTCCCAAACCAGGAGCCAAGAGCTTCATCTAGCCCTCCTACTTGGGACACCTTCCACTGCTTTCCCAGGTGCATTATCAGGGAGCTGGATCAGAAGTGCAACAACTGGGATGACAGCACTGCAGGCAGCAGCTTAGCCCTTGTGCCACATCGGCAGCCACCAAAAATCCAACTTTTTAAATAATTAATTTTTTTGAAAGACAGAGACAGGACAAACACACAGACTTCCCATCTGACGCTCATTTCCTAGGCACCTGCAGCAGTGGGAACCAGGTCAAGCTGATACCAGGAACTCAGTCTCAGTATCATCTATGATGTTGGGGGCCCAAATATTTAGGCCTTCATCTGCTACCTAGCATCTGAATCAGGATTCAAACCAGTACTGCAACATTATCAGCAGCTTTACCTGTTGCATCACAATGCCCAAGAAGATTAATTTCAAAAAATTTTTAAAGATTTATTATTGTTTATATTGGAAAGGCAGATTTACAGAGAGAAGGAGAAGCAAAGAGCCACTGGTTCACTCCCCAAATGGCTACAGTGGCCAGAGCTGAGCCCATCTGAACTAGGAGCCTGGAGCTTCTTCTAGGTCTCCCACATGGGTGCAGGCTTCCAAGGTCTTGGGCCATCCTCCAGTGCTTTCCCAAGCCACAAGAAAGGAGCTGGATGGGAAGTGGTGCAGCCGGGACACAAACTGGCACCCATATGGGAGCCCAATGCACACAAAGTGAGAATTTAATCACTAGGGTATTGTGCCAGGCCCCAGAATTTTTTAAATCTACTTTTCAAAATGTTTGCAATGTATAAGAACAAGTACTCATTAACTAAATATTAGAAAATATAAATTAGGAAAAAATAGCAGTCATGATCTTACATCTCAGAAATTTACACCTATTGTCACCATTGGTATATATTCTTCTAAGATGTATATCAGTAATGTACATGCAAGTAGAATTTTATCATGTACCTGCAATATATCCATATGCAAATGGATTTATAATAAATTTTCAATAGAATTGCTGAGTAGAAAAAAATTACTAGACATTTTTTTTCCTACTGTTTGCTGTGAACAGGGCTTTTCCTCACAGTAGTTTCTCCAAAGCTTCCAATGACCTTGGTAGTTGAGAGACAGAATGCTTCATGTCATACCAAAAGAGTAGGAGGAAAAGATATCCCCAACCATCACACATGTGTAAACTCTTGGAAATAGTACTTTTTCATCACCTATCGCAACGTCACTGGCTAAACCTAAGCTTGACATGCAATTGCTGTGATAGTTGTTGACATCTCTCACCACCTCTCTTTCAGCTTTACTGCAAGATGACATCTCTCAAGCTGTAACCTGTGCGAAGAGGGTTGTCAGTGATCCGCAAGGCATCAGGGCATGGTATGTGTTGCTGTATGTCCCAAGGGAAGACTCCCAAAGCCCCAAAGATGTGCTGTTGAAAAGGGAGCCCGTGCTAGTGCTGAATGACCTAGATCCTTATAGAAATAATACTTAAACTACCTCAAAATCTTATTCGTCTATCTCAATTTATTTTAGGAAATTTCCAGAGTTTCTAAGATTCTTTACACTCTTACAGTTCCTTGTTGTGTCTTGAGATAATGTCTAGCATAATAAAAGGCGGAAACTGCTTTGCATCTGCTGTTGGGCAACACAACCTGTGCTCTCCTGAGGCCAGTGGGGTGGGGCAATGCGTAACGTTTGCACACTTTGTTTTACCAGATGGCAATGCTTCAATCTGTCTGTTGTCTTCATTTTATTTATTGATCTACTTTTTTTTAATATAAAAAGTGGAACTATATAGTATAAAGTCATAATGGCAGATGGAGCTGCATAACAAATTTTTGCTTCCTTTAGTCTGGAGAAAGATAATATTTGGAAACTCTCCCACGCCACCCCACCCCCCAAATTCTTCTATATCCAAAGTGGAAACCAGGTCCTCTCTTGAGATCCATCACATTTTCTGAACTGAAAAACCATTCATCTCGCTTTTTAGAAAACTTTATGTAATTGCTTTACTTAAGAATCAGAGACAAAGATTTTCTATTCATTGATTCAATCTCGAATGGCCACAACAGCCAGGGCTGGGCCAGGCCAAAGGCAGAATCCCAAAACATGATCCTGGTCTCCTAAATGATTGGTGCGGATGCCACTACTTGATCCATCCACTGCTGCCTTCTAAGGAGTACATCAGCAGGCAGCTGGAGTCAGCAGTGGGGTCAGAATTCTCACACAGCACTCCAACACATGTTATGATGCAAGTATCCTGAGAGCATCTTAGGGGCTGCACCTGCGCCCCGACCTAGGCCACTCTTCTCCCATTGTTAGCAACACAGGAAGCTAGGATGGCTGTGCCACCGAAAGCTCCACACAAGAGGCTGTCGTAACACAGCCTCTCACCCTGGGGAGGTGAACACCCTGGATGCAGAATCGTTTCACCCTTTGTAGCTAAATGCAAGCATGCAAGCTGCCACTCAATCAAGGCAGTGCACGGAGGTCAAAGCCAATGCTCTCTCAACAAAGCTTGCATGGTGCAGCAGCTGCACTTGGCCTCCCACCCAGAGGTCAGCTGGCCACAGCACCTGTCATTTCTTTGATATTTTGTTTGTGTTGTTGACAGGGTGTTTTGTTCTCCCCATAGATGTGAAATATATTCTCCCAGTTTACCATGTTTTAACCTCTCCCTTGTTTTGCCTTTTTCTACAGGGTGGCGTGGAGAAGCCATTGTCAAAACCGAGATCTCTCTGAGTATACTCGGGGCTGTGGAGTGTAACTGGAATTTTCTTCTTCTGCTCATCTTGTCTCTTTCTCAGCTTCAGGGAGTGGTAAAGTCGCCAGCATCATTTCCCCTTCGAACAGTCTCACTGTTCCAGAGGCAAAGCAGCGCCTTTCTTCCAAGAGCCTGTTCACTAATGTACTTGTTATTTGACATTAAAACTACATATTTCAGTTTGCTAATAACAAACTGGGGAAAATTCATCTAAAACTGTAGTTATCAAATGTATTTCTAGTATATTAACCTTGATGAAAGAAATAACTTGAATTTCTCTTGAGTAATACAAATATTCATCAATATTGAGTTAAAATATTAAAGAAGACTATCTTTAAACTACTTGGCTTAGGCAGAACTCCAGAGTCAGTGTGGGCCTTGGATGCCTTCTGTCCAGGACCGTCTCCAATGCAGGAAAAATCAGCTCTCTTGGTTGGCAATAGACAGTTGTTAAACGAGCAGTTATTCAATTCTTTAAAAATGGAGACTGAGTTAAGAATTTTGCTTTCATAACGGATGTGACCTCTAGTTTAACGATTTCCTTAGACAGCTTTCATTTACACATCCTTAAAATAGAAACATGATTTATATGCAGTGTAGTCCAATAAAGAACACCTAAGGTGCTTATTGCTAATTGTGAAGGAGGAATTAGACGAGCTTGTACTGTTTCTTAATTTTATTAATTTAGAGTTGTGCATTATGATTAATTCTGAGACAGGATGAGCCCATGGATGTTGAAATGATTGCTAATTAACCAAAGTGTGAAACTATGCATGTTGTAAAAACACATTATTATTAAAGGCTTTGCAATGAATACCTTGTCTTCCTTTCTAAAAAAATACTTATTCACTGGGCCGGAGCTGTGGCAAAGTAGGCTAAACCTCTGCTGGTGCCTCTAAGCACCAGCATCCTGTATGGGCACCAGTTTCCGTCCTGACTGTTCCACTTGGAACCCTACACCCGAGTGGGAGACCCGGAAGAAGCTCCTGGATCCTTGCTTCAGATCAGTTCAGTTCTGCAAATGCAGAAAGGGACGAATAGGAAGAAGCTGTAGCTTGGCTTAGTGCATGCTCCAATTGGGAGCAGCTGATCTTTCTACGGCAGTGTTAAACTTTGTCACAATCCCCAACATTTTTCTTCTTCTCATGAGCCAAACATGTCATTCCTTCCTCTGGATTCCTTGGGTAGCTGTCAAAATAGCTTTATCCTTTGTTCAAGATCCTAGAATTTTCCATTTTTAAAGATTTATTTATCCATTTGAAAGGTAAAATCACACACACACACACATGTAAATGCACATACAGAGCAAGAGAAATCTTCCATCCACTCATTCATTTCTCAGCTGTCCACAAAACCTGGGTCTGGACTAGGCAGATTCCAGGGGGCAGAGTCTCCAGCTGGGTCAGCTGGGTCTCCCACACAAAAGGAGCAATTAAAGCAAGCAAAAGAGCAGTGGACAGACGTTACAGTACCCACGAGCACACATGCGGGTCAAGTCCGGGAGAGGGCCAGGCTGTGCCAGTTCAAACATCTGCTGGCAGATCTGAGAACCAGGATGGGGTGCAGGACAAGTCAGTTTAGGCTGCAACACCAACCAGTTGACATTAGGACTCAGTGGCTGCACTGAGCTATCCTGTGGCACCCACCAGCAGGAGCTGGAACTAGGGGCAGGTTGGACAAAGCCAAATTGAAGCACCTGCTGGTTGATGCTGAGGTGAGGCCAGTATGAGCACAGTATGTGCCGGATCCATGAGTCCCAGTGCTGGGAGATCCAGCATGGCCCAGATGGCCTGGCACAGGTCCTTGGACACAACTACATGGTGGGTGCCAGGTCTGTGAGCCCCAGGGGAGGTTGGGGAGAGGAGGTCCAGCGGGATCTGGGTTGCCTGGCCTGGAGACTTGGGCCTGCCTGTGAGGGCTTGACCTCCTCAGTGGAGGATACGGAGCAGTTGGAAAGCAGGCCCAGATACACATGGAGAAGATGATAGTACATTTGGGTCAGCAGAGGACATCTGGTACCATGGCAGAAGAAGGAGAATAGAGCAAATTGGACAACTATCCCAGCCAAACGATGACAGCAAAAATTGGGGGCGAATGGAGAGAGACTCTAAGGTGGACTGTTAGCCTATGGACATTGTAAGGGTTCCCTCATCCTTCGATCAGCAAGATCGAAAGCATTTCAAAACCATCAAAAGCACTTGGGCAGAACTCTCAGAGGCTGGGAGGCTCTGGGAGGCTCTCAGAGGTTGGGAGGCTGGGTATGCCTTCTCAGCTTGGGTCCTGCCTCCCCCAGACACAGGAAGAAGAAATGGAAAAATTGCAAACAATGATCACACCCATTTTCCCCTAATCCTCAATCCTTCCCACCCTGATCAACAATGTAGGCACCATTAAAAATAAAAATATTACAAAAAAAAAAAAAGAATCTCTGGCTATGCAACCAGAGACTGACCACTGCTGCAGAGTGTCACCCACAGCATCTACTTTTAAAGGGCGTCTTTGCCTAGGGTGAGTTTTCTTGTGGTCCAGCAGGTTTGCCCCGTTAAATAATTTGCATTTCTTGTGGAGCTGGGGAGTTGGCCTTGCCTTTAGTAGGGACTTTCCCAGTAGGCCAAGGGCCTGCGGTAATCCTCTCCTCCACCTTCTCCTCCCTGCCTCACCACCCCCCCACCTTCGATCCACAGTGACAAATCTTTCTCATATGGGAAGAGTTTCACCTTCTGTTATTGCTTCATGTAGGATAGGGGCATTGCGTTGGCCCTGCCTAAGATTGTGAGGTTGCCAAGGATCCAAGGAGCCCCGGGCTCCTGGCTGCAGGGCCCCAGCGAGTGATAGAGCTTCAGAGAAGAGGACATAAATGTTCTGGAACCGGCTGCCTGCTTTACCCAGGGGCCTGTAGGTGGCCCTATCTGGAGGCATTTGATGTTGAAGGAGTTGAAATCCTTGTTGAATTACTGTTTGGGAACGTGTTTTCTGTATTGTGGAGGAGACAAACTGAACTAATTTGTTCCAAAGAGAAGGCCCCAAGAGCTCAGCAGCACAATGAAAACTATGCTTTCATCTGAATTCTTTGTTCTAGCGTGCAATGTTTCCTGTTCAGCAAACCCAGACATGAATGCATGTCCAGACTACTGGAGGTGTGGATATACAGAGCCTTCTGCTTGAGAGAATACACACGGTTCCCCTTAAAAGCCATTTAGTTTTGGATAACTGCTTTCCCAGCAGAAGACTTGTCAGTGAGGTGGTTATCAGCTGTATGCCTTGTGATGGGAGGCCTAAAAATGAACTAGTCTATTCCCTACACTGCCTCACAAGTGTTGTTTTTCTCAGACATGTCAGTGAGCCTCAGGTGACAATGTCTAGATTTATTTTAAGATTTTGAAAAGGAGAGAGAGAGAGAGAGAATCTTTATTTGTTCACTATTCAAATGGCCACAATGGCCAGGGCTGGATCAAGCCAGAACCAGGAACTTCTTCCCGGTCTCCCACACGGCTGCAGGGCCCCAAGCACTTGGACCATCTCCCACTGCTTTCCCAAATGCATTAGTAGGGAGCGGCATTGAAAGTGGAGCAGCCAGGACTTAAACAGATGTTGGCATTGCAGGAGTCAGTTTTACCTGCTACACCAAAATACCAATGTGTAGGTTGCTTAAATGCCTGCTGATATTTGTCATCCGAATTTTCCTAAAATTTGAATCACTGCTCTCAGTTGTAGTTCTTGCTTCTCAGGCATGAAGAGGTCAAAGAGGTGCTTAGCACCTCATTCTGGGTGCTGGATATAGGTTCTAGCATTACGTATGAGAATACCAAGTATTATGCCTCATTAGCATCTCTGTTTAGAAATAGGGTCTGGGGCCCGGCGCGGTGGCGCAAGTGGTTAAAGGTCCTCGCCTTGCACGCCCGGGATCCCATATGGGCGCCCGGTTCTAATCCCGGCAGCCCCGCTTCCCTTCCAGCTCCCTGCCTGTGGCCTGGGAAAGCAGTCGAGGACGGCCCAAAGCTTTGGGAACCTGCACCCGCGTGGGAGACCCGGAAGAGGCTCCTGGCTTCGGATCGGCATAGTATCGGCCTGTTGCGCTCACTTGGGGAGTGAATCATCGGACGGAAGATCTTCCTCTCTGTCTCTCCTCTCTGTATATCCACCTTTCCAATGAAAAAATAATAAAAATAAATCTTTAAAAAAAAAAAAAAGAAATAGGGTCTGCCTCTAGCAATCTTTGGAAATAGTTAGGGCCTGGCACGGTGGCTCAACTGGTTAATCCTCCACCTTCCGACACCAGGATTCCATGTGAGCATTGGTTCATGCCCATCCAGCTCCCTCCTTATAAGAGGATGGCCCAGGGTCTTGGGAGACCCAGAGGAGGCTTCTGACTCCTGACTTTAGATTGGCCCAGCTCCAACTGTTACAGCCACTTGGGGAGTGAACCAGTAGATGGAGGATCTTTCTGTCTCCTTCTCTCTGTAGATCTCATATGTCTTTCTAACAAAATAAATCTTAAGAAAAAACTAAGTAAACAAATAGGTGCTGTTTGAGCAGAGTCTTCAGTAACAGTTACTGTAATGCAATCAGGCACAAGAACTCTTTCCTTATGGGCCTTCTATTCTAGAAGTTCATACTGGAGCCAGAAAACATTACAAAGGAAACTTAGGTGCTTCTGGACATCACACTGATCTCAGTAAGGATGTTGCCAGGAATGACTCGTGAGGGATGGAAAGCGGTTGTGGCATTCTTCAAAAACAGTCCAGCAAAGAGGTGACACAGCTGAACAAATGGACAGAAAGCAGGTGACTGCTTCAGTGGGAGCATGCTGCTCAGTGGAGGTCAACCAGTGGTGCTGCTTTCAGCTAGAAGGCCCAATAGTTCCTCCTCCAAAGGACTGGTCTCTCATCCTGGGCAGGTCTGGAAGGAAGGAGCCCAAATCATACTGACCCTTGAAACATCAATTCCTTTGGCCCAGAAGGATTCCCAGGGAGTGGTTAGCTGAAAATGGCTGCCGGGAGCAGCAGGCTTCTGACCTTTGTAAAGGACAAAGCGAGCCCATTAAGATGGACAGGTACTGGGCGTTGGGGAACTGGGCATCATATTCCACCAAGTAATTGCCCTGGCCAGGAATCTCAGTTGGTCCTGCATGGCTAAACTGTTCTTCAAAGACAGCATCAAGGAGAAAGAAAGACTGGCTGTGA